CTATCTATCTATCTATCTATCTATCTATCTATCTATCTATCTATCTACCCACCTACCTATCATCTATTTATCATCTATCTATCATATCTCCCTCCCTCCCTCTCTTTCTCTTTCATCTCTCACACTTATCTTATCTTTCTCTCATCTATCTCATCTATCATCTATCTGTCTGTCCATTATCTCTCTCTTTTTTCTCTCATCTATCTCTTTCTCTCATGTATTATCTGTGTGTCTGTCTGTCATCTATCTATCATCATGTTATCTATCCCTCCTTCCCTCCCTCTCTCTCTCTCATCTATCTGTCAACTCATAACATATTTCTATGGTCTTTTAGAGTTGCTAACAGAAAGGGAGGGGGGAGCAGTGCGACAGCTTGCAAACCGAAACTGCATTCCATAAATGTTTTCAAAGATAGTAACTAGGTGACTGAAGTTTCTGCCGTGCAAAATTCTAACTGAAGAGTATGATTGATGACTCTTGGCTATGGATGTGTGATACACCCAGGGGCTTGGGGAAAACCTGGATCAAGGGTAACAACGAATGATGTGTCTCAGAGTTGGCTACACCCCAGCAATGCCGCACCTTTTAACTCCCAATAAATCCTTCTGAAGTTTTGGAAGTTTGGCTCGGGACTCATGATTTAAATGGGGTTAAATGCTGGAATCCTGACACTACCGTGTTTCTCATATAATAAGGCCGGGTCTTATTTTTTTTTTGAGCCCCGAAAAAATGGCTAGGCCGTCTTTTCGGGGGTAACTTAATTTCCCCCCCTTGCATCTTCAGGCGGGCGGCGACGGCTTGGATGTTGACCTCGGCGTTGGTGGGGCACTTCGTATCGGGGTCAACGCAGGCAGCACCATATCCGTGTGTGTGCAACAAAAGTACTTCCTAACGGCAAGCCCTCCTGCCATTTCCCCCCCATTTCGCATGTTTTAATATAAGCCTTAATTTGGGGGGAGGGGCTTAATTTCATTTCATGCCTATAAAACATGCTGGGACTTCCTATTGGGGGAGGCCGTATTGTTGGAGAAACAGGGTATCTATGTATCTATCTCCAGCCTTTATTATTTATTATCGAGGTATAGTGAATATATCTAAGACTCTTCTTCTTATTCTTATTTTTAGGTTTGTTGGGGCTGCAAATCCCGCAACAACCCCACTTTCCCTCCCCCCCCCAATGAAGACCTTCCTGTGGAAACTGGATGAGGGCAGGGTTGTTTTCAGTTCCATCTACTACCCCGACTGCAGCTGGGCCAAGCAGGAAAAAAAAAATCTCGCAGCGGTTTAACAGAAACCCTACAAAATTCTTCTCGACGTTATAGGCCACTTCCTCTTCCCCTTTCTCACCCTCCCTTTTTGCTTCTTTAATTCCGTCCATCGTTCAATCCTTCTCAGAAAACTTCTCCCCCCCCCTCGCCCCCCAAGTTCTCTCACCAGTTTCTGGCTGTCGGTGTCCAAGGCGCTGGTGGCATCGTCCAAAATCAGCACTTTGGGGTTTCGGATCAAAGCCCGGGCAAGAGCAATCCCTTGTTTCTGCCCTCCAGAAATTTGCTTTCCTGCTTCCCCGGCATCTGAAGCAAGAGACAAAAAACGGAGGCGTTCTGCAATCGGGGCCCCTCCCAAACTCCCTGCTTATCCATTTTAATTCTAACAGCTGCTTCATTCATCCCCCAATCGCTGAAATCTGGAATACTGACTTTGCAACACATCTGTAGCAATCTATTCACCATCCGGTCTAATAGCTGGGAAGGTGGTAGAACATGGCAACCCATGAGGCCTAGTCCTGCCTCCTCCCTATGGTCACAGCTCCACAGGGTCACAGATATTTCTCCAATAAAGGAAAACATCTGTGTCTCAGGATTGAAATGAGCAAACGCTCTCTTGTGCAGCTTCTGATCTGCAGCATTCAATGGTGCCTGGAGCGGATTTTCAACAATGTTCCAAAACTCTTTTGCTTTTAGGAAAATCCCATCTTTGCAGCCCAAATAATATACTTCTTCTGACCCAAACGGGGTAGAGAGCTCTCTTTAATTTTTATTTTTTTTCAGCCACCCTGCAGTCTCTTGCCTTTGTTTCTTGCTATGAAAACAGGCACTCTCTCAGCTTTAATTACAATTCAGTCTTTTTTCTGGGCCCATAACCCTGTTCCGTTTTGCAGCGTAAATTCAGCACCAGAAAAGTAAACGCGGATGGCTGATACCTCATTTAACGTCTTTATAAACACATTAAGTCAATTTTGCAATACCAGTTGTAGATTTCTCGAACAGGGCGCATACTCAAACAGAAGCAGACATGTTACATGTTCAGAGCACAGCGGCAACATCAACTTCAGCAGACAAGCAAGCAAGTTAGTTTCTCTTTCACTTTAGAGCCGAGCACAGAACACAGATAAACCAGGCCCAGATTCTCTCTTTAAGTTTCAGCCCTCAATTCAGCTCTCATTGGCTGACCTTGTTACTAAGTTCTATTCCAGTTCATGAATATACTCTGACAGGTGCTCTCTGAGCATGGCTGTTTTCTTGCAGATGTTTCTTTACCCACACTATTGGTAATCCTCAATCTGAGGCTGTAATTGAGCCCAACATTTTTGTTGCTAAGCGAGACATGTATTAAATGAGTTTTGCTTCATTTTATGACTTTTCTTGCCACAGTGGATCCCTGCAGTCGTCAAGTTAGTAACACGGTTGTAAAGTGAATCCGGCTTCCCCTTTTGACTTTGCTCATCAGGAAGTCGCAAAACCCGTGTGATGTCTCCCTTGGACGACTCCTCATATTCCTCCTCGGAAGTCGGCTCAAGGGAAGATGAACTGGGTTAATTAAGGACTCTGAATGGCCAAAAGAGGTTTACAGGCGGATTTAGCTGGGGACAGCTTGCCGGGGTTGGCGGTCAGTGGAGAGAAGGAGCTGCCTTCCATGGTGGATCCGAGAGCACGCAGGGCAGAGAAAAGACAAGAGCAATGGAGATCTGCCAGATTATTCAGAAGGCCCCACCTGTCTTGATGGGCTGCACAGGAAAACTATTTATCATGGCAGGCAAAGGGAAGCGTTGCTGGGAACAACACGTTTGGTTTCTGGCTGTGTGTGTTTGTTCCTGGTGTTTCCTGCTGGATTTTGGAGACTCTGAACTTCTTTTGTCAAGTGAGCTCTTGTGGGTGTATTTCAGTTTGGCTTAGTAGATTAAGTTTATTGGTGAACTTCTTTGTTTTATGGACTATTGGCTGTTGCCTTGTGGACTAATCTTGGCCTGCTTGTGGCTGGAGTTATTTGGGACAGTTCTGCGGCTGGGTGAAGGGAATCTGGGGAATCACATGGCCATGGGGATGCTGCCAAAGGTCATAAGTGTGAAAAAAAGGTCATAAGTGTGAAAAATGGCCATGCCCCTGTTGGAATCTGACTTGGTGGGGGAAACCGAACAGCTGACAGGGAGTGGGAGTGTGGCTCCACTGGCTGTGGAAGAAACTGGGGAAGGGCAAAGTCCGGCTGGGCAGAGCAGGGGAGAGGTAGAGCAAGGCAGAGGGAATTCAGAGGAAGATCTAGGCCTACCCCCTCTTCATCCTAGGGCACGCAGGGAGGAACGGAGAAGGGAGCAACGTGTGTTGCTTGGCTTACGGGAGAGGAAAGGACCCTGATTCCCTTCATTAGCTGCAGCTGGGAACACAGTGTATAAATGAGGAAGCTGCGCACAGCAAGTTGTTGGGAGCAAACGTGAATTTATCTGGTATCGTCGTGGCTTATCTGGTGTTCCTGGCGTTTTCCTAACTGTGTGAGTTTTGCCGCACTTTCAAATCTGAAATTCCTTCTCCTGCCCTATCCAGTTAATTACTTCAGCTTGGTTTGTTTGGATTTTTAGTTACAGTTTTTGTGTACCTTGTTTTGGACTGAATTTTCTACAGTTAAAGGCTTTTCCTGGGAGAGTTTTTCTCCAGCCCAAGGTAACCTGGACATTGGGGGCAAAGTTGGAGATAATAAAAGGACTCTTATTGCTTATTTGACTGTGTTGCCTTTGTGCCATGCCCTGGGTCATCACAGTCACTTTTTTCAGTGCCGTAACTTCGGACGATCACTAAACAAACTTGTAAGTCAAGGATTACCTGTCGTTTGGGTAATGAGACATTCTGCAAAAAAAGCAGCCATGCTCAGAGAGCACCAATGACCCCTCTGATGTTCTACCCTTGAGACAACTCCCATGTGACCCTGCCATCCATCCCTGGGCAGAAGACAGGGACTCCTACTTGTATCGTAGCCGTGGCTCATCGTGGAGATGAAGCGATGGACTCCTACTTGCTGACTAGCCTGGATCACCTTCTCTTCACATTGCTCTTCCAAGCCGTAGGCAATGTTGGCACCCAAGGATCGGGCAAAGAGTACGGGATCTTGGCTCACCAGCGCTACCTACCAGGCAGGGAAAAATAACAAGACAGTTCATTATTCCAAGCAGAATTTATGAGGATGCCAATCAAAGCAACATTCATTTCCCCCAACTTTGGAAACTGTAATACAGGTCAACGTCTATGCCGATTCTCAGTCATCCAAGTCACGGCTGTCCAGAAGTCAGGCTTTGATGGCACAGTGGTTAGTGTGCGGTACTGCAGGCCACTTCTGCCGACTATCGGCTGCCTGAAACTTGGCAGTTCAAATCCCACCACGCTCAAGGTTGACTCAGCCTTACATCCTTTCCGAGTTGGGTAAAATGAGGATCCAGATTGTTGGGGGCGATAGACTGACTCCGTAAAACTGCTTAGAGAGGGCTGTAAAACACCATAAAGTGGTATATGAGTCTAAGTGCTATTGCTAATGCTAAATGTGCTTTTTTCAAGAGGCAATTGGACGTTCTTGATTTTCTTTGAAGACATTTCGCTTCTCATCCAAGAAGCTTAAATATCTTAAATATTAATATTTTATATACTTATATATTTAATATAAATATATAATTTATATATTTAAATATCTTTATATATCTTAAATATCTTAAAAGAAAAACAAGAATGTCCAGTTACCTCTTGAAAAAGCACTTTAAAAAAAAGGTTTGATTGATTTTCTATTATTTACATTTTGTTAGTGCTTAATAAACATCATGTGGTCTGGGTTTGTATAATTGCTTAACAATACAGATGACATTCTTAATCTCCACTTCTTTTTTCCAACCACTGGTAAAATAAAGTCCAAGTTTGGTAATATTCTGTGTCCAAAAGCACTTTTGGGATACAGGTAGTCCTCAACTTACAACCATTCGTTTAGTGACTCAAGTTACAACAGCCCTAGAAAAAAATGATGGGCAAAGTCAACAGGGAAAGCCAGATTCGCTTAATAACCGCACGCTTCACTTAACAACTGCAGCGATTCGCTTAAAGATTGCAGGGGAACAGGTTGTAAAATGGGTTGAAGCTCATTTAACAACTATCTTGCTTAGTGACAGAAATGCTGGGCTCAACCATGGTTGTACGTCGAGGACTACCATAAAGATATTGAATTTAATCGCTGGAACAGTAAAGGGTACAAAGGGCAGGGACACATGGTCGGAGTTGATTGGTTGGACAGCGCGGAGTCCTGCATGAGGCAATCTGTGTTATGATTGGTTGCTGGGGGTAAAGGGGGAGTTTCCCTTTTCCCCCGCCTTTTTTCCTTTTGTGTTTCCTTCTGTATGCTGTTTAAATTTACCTCATGATGTTCCTGACTATCCTATTTGTTGTAAATATAAACGTTAAATAGATTCATTTCTATAAAACTACAAGTTTGTGTTGGTGTCTCCGACTTCATTTGGACACCTGCTGCATAATTCCCGGATATCAATCTGTTCAATTTGTTTAATGGGAGTTGAAAGAGAGAAAAAAATCCACGATAGATTATTTAACAGATGTTGGAAGGGACCTTGCAGGTCTTGTTCTGACCCAAAGCTTGTTCCAATGAAACAAACATTAAATGGAGGTAACAGCAAAACCTTTTAATTATCCTTTATAAATTCCGTTCCTTCCCAGTTAAAAGGCTGTTTCAGACTAATTGTCTCTGATAAGAACGAGCCTTGCCAAGTTTGTGCAAGACTGCCAAGAACACTAGATAAAGTTGCCAAAAAAGTATTTCAAACACAGAGTCTCCAAATACCAACTAAAAGAGTCCAGACGTCCACAAGGCTTGAGTGCAAAAACTTCTTTGCTTCCTGCAAAGAACTCTGGTTTCTCAGCTGGCTTTTATCTCTGAAGGGAGGGGCCATTACCTTGCAGCCTTACCCCTGAGTCACCCGTGTTGCTGCAGCTGCTCTTTCCTTCCAGCAGCCCTGCGTGCACGTGCACTGGGCACAGGCTCCTCGGGGACCTCTTCATCACTGCTGCCAGCCTCCACAATCTCCGAAGGCACCATTCCACTCCCTGATGGTCCTGGCCCCATCCCTGCATTACACGCGGGCCTCTCATCTGAGTTTTCGCTCTCTGAGACCTCAGCCGCTGCTGCCGGTGAACCACAACAGGTCTTCTAGTCCAACCCCTCGCCCCCCGCCCCCCATTCAAGCAGGAGACCGTTTCAGACAATGGCTGTCCAGTCTCTTTTTGAAAGCCTCCAGGGATGGAGCACCCACAACATTTGAAGGCAAGCTGTTCTATAGGGTGTGCTCTGTATGCTGTTTGGTGATTTACCCGACGATTTACCTCAGGATGTAGTAATGTGCCTGACTATCTCACCTGCTGTAAACAGAAAATGTAAAATCTATTTATTGATATAAAATGACAAGTTCGCATCAGCGTCCCTGACTCCATTTGGACACTGGCTGTGCAATCCTCTCCACAACCTGTATCGGCCACCTGCGTCTACCATATCGCATCCCTTACCTTTTGATGCAGGAAGCGATGTTCATATTTGTTCAGGTCCTCATCGTCCAGCAGCACCTGTCCTTGTTCGGGCTCATAAAACCTTTGGAGCAAGGCCACCACCGTGCTCTTCCCACACCCGGAAGGGCCCACCAGGGCAGTCACAGTACCAGGACACAGCTTAAAAGACACCCCCTGGAAGAAGAGAAAACTGCCTGCCGATTCTACCCAACTTCGATGCAGTTATTCGTACTGCGGTTTTGGTTCTGGCTTTGGATGGGATAGGACAAGCGCCTCAACATGCTCAGAGAACAGATAATCAGAGTTGGAAGGGATCTTGGAGGTCATCTAGTCCAACCCCCCGCCCAAGCGGGAGACCCTACACCCTGCACAAATGGCAGTCCAATCTCTTCTTCAAAGTCTCAAGTGATGGCGCTCCCACAACTTCCAAAGGCAGAGCTGTTCCACTGATTGATTTTTCTCACTGTTAGAAAGTTTCTCCTTATTTCCAGGTTGAATCTCTCTCCTTTATCAGTTTCCATCCATTATTCCTTGTCTGGCCTTCAGGTGCTTTAGAAAATAGCTGGACCTCTTCCTCCCTGTGGCAGCCCCGCTATCCTGTCTCCCCTGGTCCTTCTCTTTACTAGACTAGCCAGGCCCAGTTCCTGCAACTGTTCTTCATACGTTTTAGCCTCCAGTCCCCTAATCATCCAGGTTGCTATTTCTAGAGTCTCAACTTCTCTCTTACATTTTGGCAACCAAAACTGGATGCAGTATTCCAAGCGTGGCCTTACCAAGGTATTATAAAATGGTTTAGCAGGGCTCACAGACTGGACATTGTACATCTCTAACCATTTAAATGCAGTTAAAATTCCATTAAGCCGGGTTAGACCTAAGCCTGATTTGACTGACCTCAAAAAGCTGATTTTAGGTTGGGTCTGGCCAAAGCTTGGATGAGAGACCATAGAAATGGATCCAGCCAAAGTGAAAGCTGTCCTGGATTGGCAAAACCCTCCCAAAGAATCACAAACAGCTGCAAAGCTTCCTGGGATTTGCGAACTTCTACCGGCAATTTATCCCCTCATTTGCACAAATTGCATTACCAATAACAGAACTATTAAAAACTGGGAGTGGGGGGGCAACCAAGGCAAATCCTGGACAACCCCTTAAATGGACTCTAGAATGACAACAAGCTTTTGAATTGTTAAAAAGGCATTTCGCACAGGAACTCATTCTAAAACACCCTGACCCAGAATTGCCTTTTATAGTGCAAGCCGACGTTAGCGACATAGCGGTGGCAGCAGTTCTACTCCAGAAAAATGATAATGGAGATCTGCAACCCTGTGCATATACGTCCCAAAAACTCCCACACAGTGAAAGAAGGTGGGCTGTATGGGAAAAAGAAGCTTATGCGGTTTGTTGGGCTTTACAAATTTGGAGACAATTTTTAGAGGGCAGTGCCATTCCATTCGAAGTATGGCTTTCAATCACTATCCCAGAGAGAAATAATGGAGTTTCCCATACTGACCTCAGCTACATTTTGATTTCCTCTGGCTGCATTCACACAACATACTTGTCCAAGTCAGTAGATGACACACACAAGATGAAAAGTTGGTTACCTTTAAACTTGACTTAGTAAGTTGTGTGAATTCCATCCATTTGACTAGTTCCGTGATGGTGAACCCATGGCATGCGTGACACGCAGAGCCACTTGTGCTGGCACGTGAGCTGCAGGCAAACTTACCTCACTGCATATGCGTGCACCTCACAGCTGATTTTTGGCTGGTTTGAGGCCTTTTGCGGCCTCCCAGAGGCTTGAGAAAGGCTTCTGCAGGCTTTGCAGGCCGAAAACTAGGCCCATTTTGTCACTTCCTGTATTTCTGGAAATACCGGAAGTGACAAAACGGGCCTAGTTTTCGGCCTGCAAAGCCTGCAGAAGCCTTCCTCAAGCCTCTGGGAGGCTGAAAAAGGCCTCAAACTGGCTGAAAATCAGCTGTGAGGCACAGTGCAGGTAAGGGGGTGGGTGGGTGGGGATTGTTTGTGCATGCGTAGAGGGCATGGGGGGGGCGCATTGCCTTCTGGGTGCTGGCACACGAGCACGAGCATGCAAGCGCGTGCGTAATTTTTGGCACAGGAGCCCAAAAAGGTTAGCCACCACTGGACTAGTTTGCAGTGTCATGTATTGGTTTAACCCAGATAGCCAGGGCTATTCAATAACAGAGTTAACTGGTCACAGGATGACTGGGAGTCAATCTTGGGTAGTTCTCTTCATATCTAGTCTTGAACCCATACCCAAAGTGTTGTGATCCCGTCTCAGAATCCAGTTCCCACCACCAACCTTCAGCACTAGAGAGTTGCCATTGTTGCCATAGGAGAACGAAACATCTTTAAGCTCCATGCGTCCTTCTAAATTTGTGGGTGCCAAAGTTCCCGAAGGCTTGATTTGGGGTGTCCGGTCCATGTACTCAAAAGCCTTTTCCGATGAACCTACGGCCTTTTGCACGGAAGGGTAGCATGAAAGGAGGACCTAGGAGACACAGGAAACAGGCACTGTGAGACGAGGGAAACATTTTGAGGAAGGGTCTTCACTCCTCTCTGGGCTTCCAAGCAGAGGCTGTTTCTGCCCCCCGCCCCCGCACACATACCAGTGCTGGGCCAATCACAAAACTTACCCGCACCACTGTGGAAAGCTCACCCTCCTGCAGGACAAAGGTAACGAGAGCTCCGCTAGTCAACTTCCCTTGAGTGACCAGGTGTCCCCCATAGTAGAGAATCCCCACTTTGAGTGCCAGTTGTAAGATCTGGAGGAGAGAGAAAAAAATAGGGGATTAGTGTGAAATCCCTTGGATAAGGGGTGTCAAACTGGCAGCCCGCGGGCCAGATGGGTCACACACACAGGCCACGCCCACCCCAGCTCTGTGAAGGGGAAAATGTCGTGACATGATGGCAACATGACGGCGCAAGTTTGACACCCATGCCTTAGAGGGGTAGAGGGGAAGGAGGGAGGGAGGGAGAGAGAGAGAGACAGACAGACATAGACAGACAGTGAGAGAGACAGAGAAGAGACAGACAGGGAGGGAGGGAAGGAGGGAGGATTAGACAGATAGACAGAGATAGATAGATAAACTATCTATCTATCTATCCATCCATCCACCTACCTACTTGCCTACCTTACCTACCTATCTACTGTATCTATCCATCCATCCACTTACCTACCTTACCTACCTATCAATTTATCTATCTATATCTATCTCTATCTATGTACTCTATCTATCTATCATCTATCTATCTATCTATCTATCTATCTATCTATCTATCTATCTATCTATCTATCTATCTATCATCTATCTATTATCTATCTATCATCTATCTATCTATCTATCTATCTATCTATCTATCTATCTATCTATCTATCTATCTATCTCAATCTCTCAATCTATCTACTCTATCTCTATCTCTCTATCTACTGTTTCTATCTATCTCTCTATCTACTCTCTCTCTCTCTCTTTCTATCTATCTGTCTATTGTATCTATCCATCCATCTACCCATCCGAAATAGTCAGCCCTACTCACTCTGGAAGCACAAAGCTCCATGTGTCACACAAAATCTGAAACCATCCTTTGGGTGATGGAAGTTGTGCAGCCCGCACCCTCCCGCCAACCTCTCTGCCCAGGGTTGCATCCTTGCCTCAGGAATCCATACGGAGACCCCGTAGGCCACGGCCTCCACCTTGTTGAGTTTGTAGGTCTCTTGCAACTTCTTTTCGTAACACTGAGCAGCCCCATCCTCGTTGGCAAAGCTGCGGACGGTGGAGATGGCTTGGAAGGTCTCCATTGCAACTTCGTTGGCTCTGGCTAAGGATTTCTGGACGCACGTGGCCAACCTCTGGAAGGAGAGAGAGAGAAAAGAGAAAGAGAAAAGATAACAAAGTGTGTCCAAAATGGATCAGGAGAGATTTAACCTGGAAATAAGGAGAAACTTTCAGACAGTGAGAACAATCAGCCCATGGAATGGAAGTTGTGGGAGCGTCATCACTTGAGACTTTCAAGAAGAGATTGGACTGCCATTTGTCAGAAACGGTGTAGGGTCTCCCGCTTGGGCAGGGGGTTGGATTAGATGACCTACAAGGTCCCTTCCAACTCTGCTTATCTGTTATCTGATTAGGTTAAGGGGTGTTCAATCTGAACCCCCAAACTTTGTATCAACTGTATTGTCCCTCTACAAATTAAACTCTGGAGGCAACTTTGGATGTGATCAAATGGGAAAATGAATGAAATCATATTAATTAATATTAAATAAGATAAAGCTCAACGGGTGGCTACAAGTCCATGTTGTTCATTCTGCAATAATACAAGAATAGTGTCAACTCATAAAATATTTCTATGGTCTTTTTAGAGTTGCCAACAGAAAGGGAGTGGGGAGTAGTGGGCAGCATGGATTCCATAAATGTTTTCAAAGATAGTTTCTAGGTGACTGAAGTTTCCGCCATGCAAAATTCTAACTGGAGAGTATGATTGATGACTCTTGGCTATGGACGTGTCTCATTGGAGAATATGAATTATGATACACCCAGGGGGCGAGGGGAAAACCATGGTCAAGGGTGACAATGAATGATGTGTCCCAGGCAGCGCATGTTTACTCCTAATAAATCTTCTTTTAAGTTTTGGAAGTTCGGCCAGAGACTTATGATTTAAATGGGGATCACTACCGGAGCCCTGACACGGCATCAGGGTTGTGTTTGAACTCGAAGGCTGGAGTGAGCGTGGCCAGCTCAACGTCACTCGCTGAGGCTCCGTTTTCGGCCGCAACGACCTCCTGCAGCCTTCTGCCAGCAAAAATTGAGCTCCTACCGAGCTCCATTTTCACTGGCAGAGGGCTACAGGAGGCCTTTCCTGTTTCCAGGGCAGCCCCACGGGCCCATTTAAGCACCCTGTCAGCTTTGGAAGCCATATTAGCACCAGACGCTTCCACACTGCCACATTCTTGAGCCTGGGAAAACGGGAGGGGGGAATTTCTTGGAGGGAATGTGGTTAGACACAACAGCATTCTTCTTCTAAGTCAAGGTCATGTCATATCTGCACCTGGGTGAGAGGACGTCTCAAGCTGAGGCGAACGGTGATTGGGGCATGTGATGCAATGAGGGATGCTGAGGGTGGATTTGTAATTTTTTTACTTATGGCAAGGAAACCTAGAATTTTCAGATTTGGGATTTCCCAGATGTGCCAGTTTACTACCCATTCCACAGGCCGGATCCAGCCCAAGGGCCCTTGAGTTTGACCGCTCGGTATTAAGGCTTTTGTCCCCAGGAAAGGCTGATAGAAATAAACATTACTTCTATAGTCCTTTTTAGCGGCCTGTGGGCCTTGGGCCTCTCTACCACAGAACCCTCAAGGTAAGACTGAAGGGAACCTTTCCTCACCTGGTAGAACTTCCCCGAGAGCTTCGGCAACAGCAGGATAAAGGGCAGGGTCACAATGATGAATAAGGCCAAAGGCACAGAGATCCACAGCATCATGGCATAGTAGCAGATACCCCGGAGCACGTACCACATCAGGAGGCTCAGATCGTGTGAGAGGGCTTCGCTCATGGAATCGATGCCGGATGAGATGTGGGAAGTGATGTCACCTGTCAGCCAGAACAAGTCCATTTCAAAATACCGTATGTCAATTGGGAGAAGCCCCTACCAGCTGTGTGGTCTTTGCCTTTCCCGCTTTTTTGGTACCCATCTGTGGAACTGACCTGTTCTGACCAAGGTTTATTGAGACACTAACAAACACATTAGTCCCAAAACCCTTTTTTTCTTTATTTCAACAGCTGTGAATTTTAGTCATTCACAGCCCGTAATGAGTCTCAAACAGTTAGTAAATAGTCCCATGGAAGTCTGCCAGAATCCTTCAGGATAAGTCTGATAAGCACTCACCTTTATCTTCCTTGAAACGCTGCCAATGACTAAATTTCCAACTAGTTATACAAGGCCAAACGGAACACAAATTCAACACAGAGCTTCAGGTTTCAAACCGACCAGTACGAACGAAGTTGCTTCCTGCAAAGGCTCCTGTCCCTTTGCTCCTCCTTTATGTCTTATGGGAGGGCCAATCACCTCCAAGCCTTACTCCCGAGTCACCCATTTTGTCTCTACGCACACACGCATTGGGAACAGGCTCCCCTTGTTCCTCTGTCTCGCTGCTGTCAGATTCTGGAGGCTCTGGAGTCAGCACACAATTCCCAGATGGCCCTGGCCCCATCTCTGTATCGGACACAGAACCCTCGTCCAAGTCCTCCCTACTGTCGGACTCTGCTGCTGTCACCGCAGGATGCCGGTGGATCACAACATGACCACCCCATCTTCTAAACCAGTGCTCGCCAACCAGTGGGTTGGGGACCGCTGGTGGTCCACCAGAAAATTTTGGTGGTCCACAGAGAAATGACACTCAAAGCAATTAATCCAGGCTTCGCAGGAGCACAAAGCTTGCATCGCTTGCATTGCAAACAACACAAGATAGTGAGGGGAGGGGGGAAAGGGCGGGGGGGGGGAACTTGCCCCACGTGCCTTGCCTGGCCACCGGGCTGCTTCTTTCCACTTCTTTCTTCTTCTGCTTTTGGCTGCACACAAGGAAAGCAGCAAGTCTTTCTTTCTCTCCCCTGACCAAAGTTTCTGCCGTGCAAAATTCTAACTGGAGAGCATGATAGATGACTCTTGGCTATGGATGTGTCCCATTGGAGAATATAAATTATGATACACCCAGGAGGTGGGGGAAAACCATGGTCAAGGGTGACAATAAATGATGTGTCTCAGAGTCGGCTACACCCAGGTAGCATCGGCATGTTTACTCCTAATAAATCTTCTTTAAGCCTTTGAAAATCCGGCTAGAGACTCATTATTTAAATGGGGGTAACTACCAGAGCCCTGACTCTGTGTGTGTGTGAGAGAGGGGGGGGGGGGGGAGAGAGAAAGAAGGAAATGCTGGATCCTTTACCTGTTCGATTAGTGCTGAAGAAGCCAATCTCCTGGCGCACAACGGACCTGAAGACAGAGGCCTGGAAGCGGGTGTGAAATCTGTTCATAACCGTATTATACAGGAAGTCGCAGAGAAGCTCTGTTGTCGCACTGAGAGGAATCAGAAAACAGATATCTATCATGACTCCAACTTTAGCTCTCTCCAGTCTTTTCTTCTACCTGACATCACTTTGACCCCTTTTCCCCCTCTCCCAACGAATCATATTTCATCCCATGCTGTGGTCAAAAATTTTGGTTTTCTTTTCTGGTTTTTTTTTTTTTTGGCACTCTGAGTCACATTTCTGCAAATATATTGATATGAGGGACAAATAATATTCTATCCTGAGGTAATGATCACCGTCGTGACTTTTGAATTGCACAGCAGAAGGAGCAGGCAAGCAGTCTTCCAATATTTGAGGGGTTGCCACAAAGAAGACGGTATCTGCAGCATGTTTTTCTCTGCCTGATGTAATGGAACAGCCCATTAATAGACAGGTAGTCCTCGACTCACGCCCACAATTGGGCCCAAAATTTATGTTGCTAAGTGAGACCTTTGTTCAGTGAGTTTTGGTCCAGCGGTGGTATTCAGCCAGTTCACACCGGTTCAGGCGAACTGGTAGCAAGGATTTGGTGTGGATCGCAGAACCGGTAGTAACTTCCGGATGTCCACGCCCCCAACCCAGTCGCCCGGTCGCCACTCGCTTGCTCGTCCCGCCAATGCTCGTTCACCCCCTCCACCCGATGCTCGTCAGCCCAGTATTTCTTTTTTTTTTAAACCTCCCAACAATCAGCTGTTCCTACAATCAGCTGTGCCTGGATTCCCCTCCCTTCTTACTGCTTCACCCAGGAGGCTTCCTTGAGGCCCAGGAAGGCAAAAAATGGAGGGAGGGAGTGCAGCCCCCCTCCATTTTTTGCTTTCCTGGGCCCCAGGGAAGCTTCCTGGGAGCAAAATCGTCCCCCCTAGAGACTCCTCTGAGGCCAGGAAGGCCCCAAAATGGAGGCCAGGAAGACTCCAAAGCAAAAACACCCCCCAGGAGGCTTGCCTGAGGCCCAGAGGGCACCAAAATGGAACCAGGAGGGGTGCTGTGTGCCTCCTCCAGGCTCCGTTTTTTTTTCCTTCCTGAGGCCCAGAGAAGCCTTCTGGGAGCAAAAATGCCCCCCCCCAGAGGCTCCTCTGAGGCCCGGAAGGTCCCAAAATGGAGGCCAGAAACAAAAACGCCCCCTCAGGAAGCTTGCCTGAGGCCCCAAAGGCCCCAAAACGGAGCGGGGGGGGGGGTGCTGAAAAAACCACATCCACCCAATCACATGGCCACATCCACCTAGCCACGCCCACCAAACCGGTAGTAAAAAAAAATTTCAATCCCACCACTGGTTTTGTCCCATTTTACAACTTTTCTCACCCCATCATTTGTTAAGGGAACCACTGCAGTTGTTACATCAGCAAACACAATTGTTAAATGAACCTGGCTCCCCCATCGACTTTGCTTGTCACGAGGTCGCAAAAAGGGGATGGCATGAACCCGGGACACTGTGACCGCCATAAAAGTGAATACGTTGTCCAGTGTCTGAACATGAATCACGTGACCATGGGGGGATGCTGCAACGGTCAAAAAAATGGGCATGTCACTTTTTTTCAGTGCCGTTGTCATTTTGAACGGGTCACTAAGCGAACTGTTGTTAAGTCGAGGACTACCTGTACTGCTCCCATTTTAACAGATCACCAGAGTTGCAAGGGACCTTGGAGGTCATTTAGTCCAACCCCCTGCCCAAGTGGGAGACCTACACGATTTCTGACAGATGGCAGTCCAATCTCTTCTCGAAAGTCTCAAATGATGGCGTTCCCACAACTTCCGAGGGCAACTTCTGTTCCATTGGTTGATTGTTCTGTCAGAAAGTTTCTCCTTATTCCCAAGGTTAAATCTCTCCCTGTTCAGTTTCCATCCATTATTCCTTGTCTGGCCTACAGGTGCCTTGGAAAATAGCTTTACTCCTTCCTCTCTGTGGCAGCCCCTCAAATATTGGAAGACCGCTATCATGTCTCCCCTGGTCATTCTCTTTACTAGACTAGCCAAGCCCAGTTCCTGCAACCATTTTTCATATATTTTAGTCTCCAGTCCCCTTATCATCCTGGTTGCTCTCCTCTGTACTTTTTCTAGAGTCTCAACATCTTTTTTTAGTGTGGTGAACAAAACCAGATGCAGTACTCTAGGTGTGGTCTTACTAAGGCTTTATAGAGTGGTATTAGTACTTCCCTTAATCTTGATTGTATCCCTCTGTTAATTCAATTTAGGATTGCATTAGCTTTTTTGGCTGGTGCTGCACACGGCTGGCTCAAATTTAGCTGGTTGTCCACTAAGACTCCAAGATCCCTCTCACAGTTACTGCTATTGAGCCTGGTTTCACCCAGTCTATATGTGTACTTTTGGTTTTTCTTGCCTAAGTGTAGGATTTTTTCCTCGCTTTCTCTCTATAGCACACACACAACCCACCACAAACACACATATATGATGCATTTCCGAATGTGTTCATTTGTGACCCAACTTTTCCCTTCTATTGTGACTAAAATTTGTGGGTTTCCAACGATGCCACGGGTGCAAGTTTGCATTTAAAAACAAACTCAGGTAGTTTCCCCTCTATCATACCTCGCCAAAGTATAACAAGACATCATATACAGAGCATTCTTGAAGGCCGAGGCTTCCTCCTTGTTGATGAGCAAGTCTGTCACCTTTCCGGTATAATGTGGGATTGCCATCTCCCCTGAAAGGCAGACATTGAGAGAGTGTGAGAGATTGAGAGAGAGAGAGAGAGATTGAGAAATATTGAGAGAGAGAGATTGAAGAGAGATTGAGAGAGAGAAAGAGTTTGAGAGAGAGAG